GGCACGAAAAGTGCAAAAACGCATAATCGCACCGGCCCGCCTGGTGCGTTCCAGCCTGGGTTGTGACCGCTTCCCAGGGCTCATTTGACAATTGAACGCCATTCAGCGATCCATCTATAACTCAACGATCTCTCAGTTCGCCTGTCGAGCCCAGCTCTTTTTGCTGTCGTTTATTTAAGCCATCAGAACAGCAGACCACTCAAGGCAAATTGAATTTTGCATCATTGAGCTGAATTTCGGAGCACTGGCATGCATCACCATTCCTGCGTAGATATCCGTAAAAAGGCAATAAAAATCAAAAATGGTGGTGTACGTATGTGGTTGCCACACATGCGAGTTCGAATGCTCTAGAGCAGGAGCTAGGCAGTAGCGTAATGGCTGACAAATTATGATTGGAGTAGTAGTGAAGTGGTAAGTGGGAAGAGTTCATATCTCTTCCTGACCGTGTAGTTGCCAAAGGAGATTCCGTATGCGAAGCAGTTTGGTACAGGAACTACTGGCCACTGCAAGGACCTTTCGAATACAGCAAGGATAAATGGTGAGAAGAATTTCAAATATATTTGTTGTTTCAGAGAATCCTGACTGCGACTGTCTTCTGCTTGCTTTCGACAATGCAAAACTGTCGATTGTTGGTGTTAGTCCAGCGGAGCGTTGTCTCAAAACGATCTCTTTGCACTGTTTCGAAGATGAGATGTTGAAGGATGGCTTTACGAAAGATTTATCAAGCCCAGTGATCCGTGTCGATCCTGGCCAACGCTGCGCCGTTATGCTTATCTTTGGAAGGTGCTTGATCTTTTTGTTTTATCTCACTTTTTTGTGATAGGCGACTCGCTTAAAACATGCAAAGAATGCACATAAAAAATAAAAAAAATTAAATAACAAAAATTGCGGTAAATTCATTTGACTGGTATTTTAGGAGAATTCGTCCATTTACCAAAATTGTCAACACTTTCCGAACATTTTATCTGGGCGTACCCACGGTGGGCGGGCTTTTTTCGCACTCTTCCTTCTGCAGGCCAGCAATAAGTGGATTCAGGTCAAGCATTACTGCAATAGAAGCACTTAATCGGAGTCAGGGGCAAAATTGATGCACCGATCCTGAACTGCATATCACCAGTCAGTAACGTACGAGCACTACCTCTTCAGGTCCCGCCCAAATGATCCTTTTTTTGGCAGATGTAGTACGCGGCGTCCATCGATTGTCAGCGAGACGACAAGCATTCCTGCACACTGGCATGGCTGCAGCGGCACTTTACTATTCTGTCAAACCCAGCGAGTTGAGCGGCAACCATCCTTCGCTCCATTGCACCGGTGCTTCTGACTCTACAGTTTGAGGACGTCGATAGGGCTTTTAATTTCGCTACCCGTTTGACTTGTATTCTTCTGCAGGAGACTGTGAGGCATATTCACAGCCAAGAGCAATGCAGCTGTACTTGGAACAGTCTAAGCCCACCTGTGTCTCCCTGCATTTTGCAGAGAGAGGGCACACGGCTGGAGAATTGGCCTTAATAAAGATGTTTGAACAATCATTCTTTTTATGCGTTTTTTGCAGCTATGCAATGCAGAAAACGCATATTGAGGAGAGGTTGTCTATATATGTGTCCGTGTGTGCCTGTGTTAGTCTGTACCGATTTTTCATCTCGAGACCGGCAAAAGCTACAGGGCTGAAACATTGGGGACATAATCTACATGCACGTACGGACCCCCTCCCCGAAGTGGGTGGTCTTACCCGCGTGGTACCCACGTAGGAGTCCGCCAAAACTTTTCTCGAGTAAGTTGATAACGCGCGAACCAGAAAAGCGAGAAAGCTGAAATTTTGAGGGGATGTTCCCCATCCAAATAGGTATTAATGAGCTGAAACCCAGCCCGCTGGTAAGTGTGGTACCCGCGTACAGGCCCGCCAAAATTTTTCCCGGGTAAGTTCATAACTCGGTGATCTGAGACGCTAGAAAGCTGAAATTTTAAGGGAATGTTCCCCGTCCTAGTAGGTGCTAATGGGCTCAAACCCAA